ATGAAGATATTTCTAAGACTGCTTTCAGAACTCGATACGGGCACTATGAGTTTCTCGTGATGCCTTTCGGACTGACTAATGCTCCACCGGTATCCATGGATTTAATGAATAGGGTGTTTAAGCCGTTTCTGGATAGATTTGTAATAGTATTTATTGATGATATCCTGATATATTCTCGTAGCCAAGGAGAACACGAGGATCATCTCAGGACTGTGTTGCAGACATTGCGAGAGCATCGACTTTATGCTAAGTTCTCGATGTGCGAATTCTGGCTAGACTCGGTAGCATTTCTGGGGCATGTTGTATCCAATGATGGAATTATGGTAGATCCTAAGAAGACTGAAGCTGTGCAGAAATGGCCCAGACCTACTTCTCCTACAGAGATTCGCAGCTTTTTAGGCTTAGCAGGCTATTACAGGCGTTTTGTGCAGGATTTATCCAGAATAGCAGCGCTGCTGACCAAGCTAACACAGAAAAATGCAAAGTTTTAGTGGACGGAGGAATGTGAGCAGAGCTTTCGAAAACTAAAAACATGTTTGACATCTGCACCAATGTTAGCCTTACCATCAGGTTCTGGAGGATTTACAGTATTCTGTGATGCCTCGAGGGTGGGATTAGGATGTGTTCTCATGCAAAATGGTCGTGTTATAGCTTATGCTTTGAGGCAATTGAAAAAGCACGAGCAAAACTATCCTACACATGATTTGGAGATGGCTGTAGTGGTATTTGCTCTAAAAATTTGGAGACATTATCTATACGGCGAAACTTGTGAGATTTATACTGACCATAAAAGTCTGAAGTATATCTTTCAGCAGAGAGATCTAAATCTTTGGCAGCGTCGTTGGATGTAACTACTCAAAGACTATGATTGTTCTATTTTGTATCATCCTAGAAAAGCCAATGTGGTGGCTGATGCATTGAGTAGAAAATCTATGGGGAGTTTGGCACATATAGCCCCTGCAAAGAGAATATTGGCCAGAGATATTCAGAGACTAGAAGATACAGGTATCAGATTTAGTGTCAGAAATTCAGAGGCATTGTTAGTTTGTGCTCAGGCTAAGTATTCATTAGTTAAGCGCATTAAGGCCACCCAATATGAGGATGAACGATTATGAAAATACAGAGATGAGGCATTAGCTGGTAAAAGCAAGGATATGATTGTTGAAAGTGATGGTGTTCTTCGAATGGGTGACAGACTATGTGTAGCAGACGTAGATGGGTTAAGACATGGTATTTTTAAAGAAGCTCACAACACTAAATACACTATGCATCCTGGATCCACAAAAATGTACTATGACCTGAAGCAATTTTATTGGTGGGAAGGTATGAAGAAAGATATTGCTAACTTTGTTTCTAGTTGTTTAACTTGTCAGCAGGTCAAGGCTGAGCATCGACGACCCACATGACTACTACAACAAATTGAGATTCCAGAGTGGAAATGGGAAAGAATTACTATGGATTTTGTCACCGGGCTACCACGAACCCTTAAAGGTTATGACTCAGTATGGGTGATTGTAGATCGACTAACGAAATCAACACACTTTTTGCCGGTGAAGACTACATATGGTGGAGTCAGATATGCACAGATATTTATGAACGAAATTGTCCGACTTCACGGAGTACCAGTATCCATCATCTCTGATAGAGGATCACAGTTCACTTCACGTTTTTGGAAATGTTTTCAAGAAGCATTAGGTACACGAGTAGATCTTAGTATTGCATTTCATCCTCAAACAGACGGGCAATCTGAACATACTATTCAGATCTTGGAGGATATGTTGAGAGCTTCCATTCTTGAGTTTGGAGGTAGTTGGTACACTTATCTACCGTTAGCTGAATTTGCTTACAACAATAGCTTCCAGTCCAGTATTCAAATGGCACCGTACGAAGCATTGTATGGTAGAAGATGTCGTTCTCCTATCGGTTGGTTTGAAGCTAGTGAGACTAATTTATTGGCACCCGACCTAGTACAAGAAGCTCTGGACAAGGTCCAGTCGATCAGACAGAGATTGCTTACAGCTCAAAGTAGACAAAAGTCTTATGCTGATAAGAGAAGAAGAGAATTAGTGTTCACAATTGGAGACAAAGTGTTCCTACGAGTCTCCCCTATGAAAGGTGTAATGCGGTTTGGGAAAAGAGGCAAGTTGAGCCCCCGGTTTATAAGACCGTATGAGATATTAGACCAAGTGGGAGCGGTGGCATATCGTTTGGCACTTCCTCCTGAGTTGTCCTTTATTCATCCAGTGTTTCACGCCTCAATGCTAAGAAAATATATATCAGACTCATCTCAGGTGATTGAAGCACCTGCTATACCGCTTGATGAAAAGATGTCTTACGAGGAGGAGCCGATGGCAATTGTTGATAGGCAAGTAACAAAGCTAGGGTCAAAAGAAATTGAATTTGTAAAAGTCTTATGGCAAAATCATACAGTTGAAGAAGCTACTTGGGAACTAGAAAAAGATATGCAAGCGAAGTATCCCCATTTGTTTCAGTCTACAGGTATGTACTTAAGTTAAATTCGGGGATCGAATTTCATAAGGTGGGGAGGATTTAATACCCTATATTTTTTATAAGGGTGTATTGGTCATTAGCATAATAATAATAACAACAAAAAAATAAGAAACTAACTGTAAAAAAAAATAAGGATTTCACAAAATGGGCCCAAGCCCATAAAATAAAACTATATCAACACAAATGAAAGAAAGGAAAAACGGAAAAAAAAAAGCTTCTGCTTCAGAACGCAGAACGCAGAAAACAAATTTCAAAAAGAGAGGAGAAGATGAAGAGGAAAAAAGGGCTGGAACCAAACCTTGAGAAAACTTAAAAAAATACGCACTGGTTTGTACGGGTAATACTCGAATTTCTTATCTCGGTTCTTTTCTTCTGGTAATTCTTTTTTTTTTTTTAATCTCAGTTCATATATTTGAAGGGTTTCGCAAGGTATAAGAAATTAAATACCAATAAGAATTATTCTGGGCAAATTAAGAGTCAAACATGAAACCACGAGGGTTGGGTATTCTAAAATAGCTATGAATTAGCCTAAATAAGAAAATTAACATGAGATCGATATTATGTAATTATAGATTGATTGGAGGAATTTGTACGAGTTGCTTGAGGTGAAGCAGCTGGTATTTCGGCACGAGTACTGTGAGTAGTAATCTTGCCGCAATTTGTGTTTTCATAACTTGCATGATTTACACATGATTTTTAATATAAATATGTTACCGATTATTTTGAGTTGCATCTGGGACAAGTCTTTTACTCGATATGATACCGAAATAGTTATTTGAGATGAATACCGTAGTTTTAAATATTTTCGTTGTCTCTAGATCTGTTCGATCGTTACTTGAATTTACTGTTACCGAAAGGAAATTATATGATTTGATAAAAACCTAAATGCCCTATATTGTTTTAAAATAGTTTCTACGAGTATATATGGATTACAGAGACAAGTATAAATGAGAGTAGACATTGAAGGATCCCGTAGCTAACGGTGGGTTCGTTAGACCTGGTGCACCTTTTAATTACCGATTACCGTTATAGCCCTCGCTAGTGGGAAGGTAGAACTAGCATACCGTTAACGATTTTCCTCAAGTAGGGACTACCGTTATATTTGACTTCTTGCGAAGAAGTCCACAGTTATACCGATTACATGACCCGTTCATTGAAACCTCCCAAAAAATTTGAATACTGATATTATACAGTGGTTACCGAGCTTATTACTGAATTGTTAATTATATTATATTACAAGAAAAGCGTGATGAGACTGAAATTTATTTATTGTTTCTGAAAGGGCATTTTTATGTTGTTTTCTGTTTGATATACTAGCATGTTTTCTGACTTGTCCCCAAATAAAAACGATTGTGGTTAAGTGTTATTAATCACTGAGCTAGCGACTCATTCCCCGCAATTTTTTTTTACAGAGATAGCAGTTGACGCAGGCGAAGATTTTGTTAATTAGAGCGCACAGGTTGAGAATTCTTGGTGAGCCTCGCACTTGTTGGCGTGGGCGGAGATTTTTTTATCAATTGTTATGGTCTTTTCTTTGAATTCTTAGAGTCGCTCCATAGTCATTCTTTTAGTGTTATGCGTATTATTTTGCTATTAGTTTTATGTCGAGTATCGTTCTTTATTATCAAAGTCGGAGATAAATTAGTATTTCTAGTTGTTAGTGTGTTGACTAGTAATGGTGGAGACTTATTTTGGCTAATTGGTAAGCTGTCAATTGCTAGTTGAATTGTTATTAGGTTGTTTGATCGCTGATTTGAGATAGGAAATTTTTGGGATTGTCCAAAAACAGAGGAAACTCTGCCCGATTTTCTGTAAAATTACCGATGAGGCTTACTTGGGAGCACTTGCTCCTAAGCGCCGGTCTCGATCCTTAATTGGGTCGTGACATTACAACACCTAACTACCTCCGCTATAACTAAACTTGTTACAACACCTAACTACCTCAGCTATAACTAAACTTGTTACAATACCTAACACAAAGAATCATTAACCTAAGCATCCTTAATATCAATTAAGCAATGCAAGGGAATCACAACTCCACAATAGCCCGGCAAGGGGGCAATATAATGATCCCTTCCCTTTCTCACTTTTACTTCACAACTCGAACCAATGCTCTAGAGTTCTAATTATCACCTATACTATCACAATTCGTTATACAGCTGGAGACAACGCTCCTCATTGTTCATAGGTCACAATTCGTTCCACAACTTTACACAATAAATATAAATCTTCACCAAGGCATGAATAATACAACGAAGTCATGAAAATCACAATATAAGACTCACGGCCATGTTTGACACCAACTATAGATACTCGTCACCATGCCTATACGTCATACTCAACAAGAAACACATAGCAAATCGGACACAACTCCTAATCCCTCAAGCTAAGGTTAGACAAACACTTACCTCGAACTTCCACGATCAACTCAAGCCTCAATACCGCTTTTCCTTTTGAATTTAGCTCTAAATCAATTTTATCTATACATAATCGACTTCATAACATCAATAAAAGCTAAACAATTCAATTCCAATGCCTAATTATAGCTTGGTAATCATTCTTCCCAAAAATCCAAAAATTGACCCCGGGCCCGCTTGGTCAAAACACGAGGCTCAAACCAAAATCCGATTCCCCATTCACCCACGATCCCGAATATATAATTAGTTCAAAATTCGACCCCGAAACGAGGTGTAAATCACAATTAATCAAAAAGCCCTAACTCTACCCAAATCCCTAATTTTCTACCCTTAATCTCATGTTTTAGGCCTAGAAATCTAGTGGTTATTGATAAAAATGGATGAAAACAAGTTAAAGATTACATACCCAAGAGATTATGGTGAGGAAATGCTTCAAATATGGCCTAAGAGCTTTGGAGAAGAAGAGGTTTGTGAAAATTTATGAAAATCCCGTAAGTGATCTATTTTTGACACTTAAAAATAACTGGGCGAAGTTACTCTACGCGTTCGCGACAGACACACCGCGTTCGCGATGAGTCAGGTCTGTAGACCTTCGCGTTCGCGTAAGCGGGCTCGCGTTCGCCGAGAGGAAACTCCTCGAGCCCTGGCGTTCGCGTCCAATGGGTCGCGTTCGCGTAGAACAAATGCCCCATCCCCTGCCCAGGCTCATTTAGCCTTCGCGTTCTCGTGGCTAGGACCGCGTTCGCGAAGGGATAACCCCCCAATGCCTCGCATTCGCGAACTGTGCTACGCGTTCGCGTAGAAGGAATTTCCTTCATCAAAATTTAACACATCGGGTTCGCGTGGGTCCTCCCGCGAACGTGAAGAAGGAAACATCAGAAACTTAACAGCTGAAAACCTGCAACTTTTCTTAAGTCCGAAACACATCGGAAACACTTCCGAGCCCTCAGGGCTCCTAACCAAACATACGCACTAGCTCAATGACATCGTACGAACTTATCCGTGCGATCAAATCGCTAAAATAGCCTCAATAACAACGAATTAAACCTCAAAATCAAAGAATTTTTCTCAAACTTCATAAAACATCAATTTTTGCAATTTAGGTCCGAATCACGTCAAATGACATCCGTTTCTCACCAAATTTCACAGAATCATCTTAAATCATATATAAGACCTTTACCGGGCGCCGGAACCAAAACACGGGCCCGATACCATCATGTTCTAATCGAATTTCATTTCAATTTCCTTTAAACAATTTCAGAAAATAATTTTCTTCAAAAATTCATTTCTCGGGCTTGGGACCTCGGAATTCGATTCCGGGGATACGCCCAAGTCCCATATTTTCCTACGGACACTCCGAGACCGGCAAATCACGGGTCCGGGTCCGTTTACCCATAACATTGACCGAAGTCTACTTAAATGCATTTTAAATAAATTTTTTTAATATTTCATAGATTTTTCACATAACAGCGTTCCAGCTACACGCCCGGAATACGCATGCAAATCGAGGTGAAGATAAAAGAGGATTTTAAGGCCTCGGAACACAGAATTAAATTTAAAAACAAGTGATGACCTTTTGGTTCATCTCATTTTCCACCTCTAAAACAACCGTTCGTCCTCGAACGGACATAAGAAGGAAGTACCTGAGTCGGGGAAAAGATGGGGATAACGATTCCGCATATCAGACTCAGACTCCCAAGTCGATGCCTCAGCAGGCTGACCTCTCCACTGAACACGAACAGAGGGAAAACTCTTCTACCTCAACTGACAAACCCGCCGGTCTAGGATAGCCACCGGCTCCTCCTCATAAGACAAGTCCTTGTCCAACTGGAAAGTGCTGAAATATAACAAGTGGGAGGGATCACCGTGATACCTCCGAAGCATGGATACATGACACATTGGACGCACGACCAATAAACTCGGCGGCAATGCAAGTCTATAAGCCACCTCTCCCACTCGATCAAGAATCTCAAACGGGCCAATGAACCTAGGGCTAAGCTTGCCCTTCTTCTCAAATCTCATCACGCCCTTCATAGGCGACACTCGAAGCAATACCCGCTCACCGACCATGAAAGCCAAATCTCGAACCTTGCAGTCGGCATAACTCTTTTGCTTGGACTAAGCTGAACGAAGCCTATCCGGAATGATCCTGACCTTGTCCAAGGCATCCTGAACCAGATCCGTACCCAACATCCGAGCCTCTCCCAGCTCAAACCATCCAACCGGAGACTGACACCGCCTACCATATAAAGCCTCATAAGGAGCCATCTGGATACTCGACTAGTAGCTGTTGTACTAGGCAAACTCTGCTTAAGGCAAAAACTGATCCCACGAGCCTCAAAAGTCAATGGCACAAGCTCGGAGCATATCCTCCAAAATCTGAATAGTCCGTTCGGACTGCCCGTCCGTATGGGGATGAAATGTTGTGTTCAACTCAACCCGTGTGCCCAACTCTCGCTGAACTACTCTCCAGAAATGTGAGGTAAACTACGTACCTCGATCCGAAATGATAGACACGGGCATACCATGAAGACGAACAATCTCCCGGATATAAATCTCAGCTAACATCTC